GGCGCAGCGTTAATTTAACTGACAATTGCGTGGTCATACAACGCTGCATTCAATAATTAATTATTTTTTTTCCCACAAATTTTCCACACTTTCTTTTGGTGGTATTTGATCATCTGTGTGGATTTATTTATTGCCCCATAAGCAAAAAAAGACCAATTTTGAGGGAAAAAAAACAATATTTTTGATTTTTTGCTATTAATTTCCCTGGCGGTATTTCCGAGTGTAGCTCGGGGTAAAGTTTCAGCACCACAAGCGGTAACCCCGAGCTACACTCGAGAATACCCTGCAACGTTGCTCCAGGATCTCTTCTGCACTTACCTTGTCCTGTGCTCCCGCGATGTCCCTCCTGCAGTGTCCCCGGCAATGTCCTCCGGCCAATGCCGGCATCCGTCTTCTGGGTTCCGTTCCGTGCGACGTCGGAAATTTAAAAATGTGAAAAAGTGACATTCACTAAATACACTAAAATCACAGTAAAACATTACTGTAATCAAACCATTTCACTTACATTTTGTCCCGAGTGCTTTGTCCTGTGCCCTTCCTGCATTTTTACCGTTCTTTCTGCCTGAAAACTGAGAAACGTCCATGGTGTCCAAAACTCGTCCCTTTATGTCAAAATTGGTTTTAGACCAGCTACAGAACGATAGTAAATTAGAACTACTTGCAGAATTGAGTGATGATTAGTGGGGAAATTCATCATCAGACACTGAAAACGATTTTGCGACTTTGCTCAGTGATGTGCGAACTTGGCGCTATATTTCAAATTTCAGTGTTTTTGGTCTGATTATATTTAACCACATGCTGCCCAGCCACTGTAGAAATACGGCGGCAGGGCGGCACGGCTGGGCAAAACCATGTTTTAAACCGTGTGTTTTTAAAACAGATAGGGGGCGCGCGCAATTGCTGACAGAGAGCACAGCTGCAGTAGCTGTGCTTTCTGACAGTTCCCTGACAGCTCCCGGACACGCTGATCAGGACAGAAGAGTTTCTCTCTCCCGATCAGCGGTGTTCCCTGCAGTACACACCCCCCCCCCTAGTAAAACACTACCCTTACACAGTTAACCCTTTCCCTGAATAATAAACTTAACCCCTTCCTCCCCAGTGCCATTAGTACAGTGTAAGTGTTTTTTTTTTTTTTTCTGCACTGATCACTGTATTGGTGTCACTGGGGATGTCAGTGACCCCAAGTCAGTACCCCCCAATGTCAGAATGTCCGCCGCTGATTGCCGCCATAAGTCGCTGATTGCCGCCATTATTAGTATAAAAAAAAACCTAAAAATCCCAGTATCTTTCCTGCCATTTGTAAACGCTATAACTTTCACGTAAAACAATGAATTTACACGTATTTGTTTTGTTGTTTTTTTTTTTTAGCAAAGACATGGCGCAGAATGCATTTTGGCAGAAATTTATGAGAAATTTGATTTTTAAATTTTTTTTTTTTTTTTTTTTTTTTTTTTTTTTTTTACTGGACATGTTTTATAGCAAAAAGCCCAAAATATTGTTTGTTTGTTTTTTTTTTCAATTGTCAGCCTTTTTTTTTTTTTTTTTTTTTATAGCGCAAAAAATAAAAACCGCACAGGCGATCAAATACCACCGAAAAAGAGCTCAATTTGTGGGGAAAAAAAAGATGTAAATTTCATTTATGTACCGTTTTGCATGACTGCGCAGTTGTCCGTTAAACTATCGCAAGCGGCATAAATTGCAGTATCTATACCATAGTTTGTAGACGCTATAACTTTCACACAAAGCAATCAATATACACTTATTGGGATTTTTTTTTTACCAAAAACATGTAGCAGAATACATTTTGGCCTAAATTTATAACTAACTTTATATTTATACTAACTTTATATTTTTTATAGCTGAAAGTAAAAAATATAATTTTTTTGTTTATAGCGTGAAAAATAAAAAGCGCACAGGTGATCAAATACCACCGAAAGAAAGCTCTATTTGTGTGAAAAAAAGCATGTAAATTTCGTTTGGGTGCAGCATTGCATGACCGCGCAATTATCAGTTGAATTAGTGCAGCACCGAGTAGAAAAAAGAGGCCTGGTCATTAAGGGGGGTAAATCCTCTGGAGGTCAAGTGGTTAATTAAATTTATTATTATATTTTTTTTATGATTATTTATGAAATTATAATTTATGGTTTTGTGTTTCAAATTTTAACATACCCGGGATGTTTACTAGACTCTTGTTCGGACAGATTTCCGTGAGCTTTCCTAAAAATTACAGGCCTACAATAAAAAAAAAAATACATATTTTCATGCAAAAAAAAAAGTACCGCTTTGAGCACAGAAATACTGACATAATCAGACCGTTAGGGAGGCTACACATGTCCAGTAAAAAATTGTTAATCAAATTTCGTCATAAATTTAGGGCAAAATGTATTCTGCCACGTCTTTTGCTAAAAAAAAATAAAAAATCCCAATATGTGTAAATTAATTGGTTTACGTGAAAGTTATAGCATTTACAAATGGTATATATACTGGCTTTTTTTTTTTTTTTTTTTTTTTTTTTTTATACGAATAATGGCGGCGATCAGCGACTTATGGTGGGACTGCGGCGGACATTCTGACACTGCTGGGGAACTGACTTGGTGTCACTGACATCCCCAGTGACACCAATATAGTGATCAGTGCGAATAAAAAGCACTGACACTGTACTAATGGCACTAGGCAGGAAGGGGTTAACATGTGGGACGCTCAAAGGGTTAACTGTGTGCTGTTTCACAGTATGTTGTGTGTGCGCTTTCAACTGTAAGGGCACTGCTTTGTATGACTCTGCTATGCAGAGCCATACAAAGCAGTGTGCAGGAGCTGACGGGAGAGAACTGGTGTCGGTAATGCTCCGCAATCTCTGGGTGCCGGCAAGTAATCACCAGCTGGGACCCGGTGATTGACATACGAGGCTGCGAATGGCGGTGCAGTTAGGCCGCGCCCCCCCTATCAGGAATTACAAAATCACATGTGTGTATATATACGTGATTCTGCGCACCCGTGCTGCCCTTTCTGCTATAGGGTGGACTGGAAGCGGTTAAAACTACAAATTTGTCATACTTACCTGCTCTGTGTAATGGTTTTGCATAGAGCTGCCCTAATCCTCATCCTCCTGGGGTCCCACATTGGTGCTTCTGGCTCCTCCTGCCTTCATGCTGCCCCTATAGCAAGGTAAATAAAACTTTAGAATAACTTGCTTACTTCTTTCTCCTGCCTGAACTACATGTCCCTGTGTACTGAGCTGTATGTGTGCTGCACTGTATTTTCTGATATATTAACAAATACATTCTGTATGCAGGCCAATTAATCGGTTGACCAACTAATTAATTATGAAAATGGTTGACGACTATTTTCAGAATCCATTATAATCGATTATGCTGATTCATTGTTTCAGCCCTAGTCTGTCTAGTGCTCGTGCGGGGGAAAGCTATGCAATAATTCCTGGCCAGTGCTAGACTATTTTGCGTCCTAGGCAAAACGAGCCACAAAAAAACTTACAATTAAAAAAAACAAACCAATAAACTAAACTGTCTATACTGCCGGGATTGCTACAGAGGGCGCTGTAGGGTAAGGGGTCAGCTCCAGAGCAACAGAGATTGGGCTGGGAGGAGGAGAAGACCCTGTCCAGCACCTGTTTCCGTGCTGGGCCCAACCTGTAAGAACTTCCATGACCCACCAGCACAGCAAGGTCCCCCCTTGGAACCCCCTAGAACTGCAAAGTGCAAGCAGTGGGTAGGTTTGGAAGACTCGCCCTAAAGCATTACCAGCCTGTGCACAACAAATGAAAAGGGATCTAGCGAACCTGGTGGATCAGAAGCAGGGACACCGCTGGGTGCAGGTGGCATGCAACCTCCCCCCTTTTTTCACCCTGTCCCTACTGAAATTGCTCCTGTCCTGGTCAGAGCTGAGTGCTGTCACTTAATATATGACCTGTCAGAGCCAGAGAATCGATCAGCAAGTTGCTTACCATGAGCAGATCCCAGCCAGGGGGAGCAGGGCAGTCAGCATGCATCCGTAGTGTCTCACCAGGGTCCCAGCTCACTGTGGATTCCAGCACACTGACAGCTCACTTCGCATTGCTCTGCGTGTGCTGGGAGGCGTGGCAATCTGCGCTCAGCCAACCCACTCCTGGGAGCTTGACTGACTGACAGATCCTCGCCTCTCCCCGCTATCACTTATAGAAGGGAACTGATAATGGTTGTGTGCTATAGGGACAGACTGTGTACAGGGTACAGCTCTGGGGCGGCACTACTGCAGCTGGCAAAGGAATGGAGAGACGGATTAGAGAAAGTACACGGGGTACCAGGGAGAGGAGGTGGGAGCGGTGGCAGTGCGCCCTAGGCGGCTGCCTAGTTTGCCTAATGGTAGCACCAGCCCTGGTTCTGACACAGATACAAGCAGGCAGAGCATTTACAGAACCACGGAGAACTCACTTGTGCTGCTTAGGTTTCATCACATTAGCACTCCCAGATTTGTGATGCAACACAGGGAATGGTGAGGCATGCATTGGATGCTGTATGACCTGGAAGAGGATGTTGACATAGCCCCTTGGCGCATGTCAACACACTAGCTGCAGCAATACATGCAAATAGGGGAATCTGTCAACCATGACACTACAAACTGCAGCCACATAATGTAAGCCCATCATTACAAGGTAAGGCAATGTAACAAGATGGGATGTGAGTACATTAATACCTCGTTGAAATGATGAATACATTTTAAGTCAAATATCCCTTGACAGCTGTATATTTTTTAATAGCATCATACTTTGGGCTTGTTTTTAGAAGAGTGGTGAGCTGCATCTTGTAGGTCTAGCATATTGTTTTGCAGTTGTTCCACAGCTGTATGAGCTCTTTTGCTTTGCATTATTAACTTTATTGGAAAAAAACTTTTAATGTTAAACTAATTCTAATATAATTACTGTTTATAATAATTTAATGCAATCCACTTAAGCTTTTTTTTTTTCCTCTATTCCTTTCAGGTTATAAAATTCCTCTCTGGCGAACATGGGAGCAGGTGTTAAATGTGTTATCACTGGTTCCAACATTAAAGGTTGGTTAAAATTAAATTTTATCTAAAACAGGTGTTGGTTATTGATGGATATTTACCATCTGGATTATCTAGTGGCATGTTAATTATCTCCCCCCCCCCCCCCCCCCCCATCCCGTCCTGCAGCCTTACAAACAAATAAAGGTTCTTTTAAAGACAAACTCACACACGTATTGGAATTTGTGTATCTATTGGTAAGATTTTCCCTCAGTGCCGTCAGGACAGGAAGTAATATTGGCAGTGAAGGACCGCCTCTCTCCGGCAAGAGCACAGACAAACATATTTTTATTAGATTAGGAAGGGTTAGAACTTTTTTATTTATTTTTTATTGATGCGTGCACCATTCTATCGTCAGACGCCACCACATATTTCTTGTGTGGGCCTCATAGACAGGATGTTGGGAAATCTCTGTAATGGTCGATGTTGGCAATGGCAGCTCCTACTTTTTAAACTTGCATCACAGGACACGGTATTCATATTCATGACTACTTGGGTTTTGCTGCCATCTTCTCATGATTGGACACTGGCAAATAAGAGGCAGCATCTCCTTCCTAAGCATAACCCCTCCCAGCTCAGCTAAGCCTCTGTTTATTCTTAGTGTCTTTAGGTAAAGGATGTGGAGTCTTTTTAGTGGGTGCTAGTCCTCGGTTTTTCTTGGCCTATTCTGTACACCCCTATTGGGGAAGGAAAAGGCTTAACCCAGATCAGTCACTATTGCCCCAGGGCTGATGGTACCAGGTTCTCGCATGCAAGAGCAGGTAGAGCCTGTAAAGGTGCCATTCAACACTCGACCCTGTGAGCAGCGATCCAAGAGATGCCTATTTTTGGGAGATCTCCCTGGCAGGGTTCTCTGCTGGTACAGGGCAGTGTTCCCTTGCGGATGAACTGAGTCTCTAAAGGCCCACCAGAGCGCTGCCACCTTGAGGGGTGAAGATTGGGCAAACAGGATTGGCTGTACAGCACTGCGACCAGGAGCAGTTTCTTGTAAGTGTCTTGTAATATATGTGTCACTATTCTCCCAAGTTCACTAGTACTGAGGCTATGGGGGTTGCGTTTTATGGTCTGAATTGCTATACCACCGAGGAGGTCTCAACCGGAGTGCAATGTCAGGTATACTTGAGCCCTATTTTGTGCTCAGTGATCACACATGCTTTCAGCACCAATGATACACAACTCCAGCCCGGCTCTAGCACTACTTCAGCACTGCTAGAGCCCAGTAAGTAGGGGAACACAATGTGGTGTGACTTGTCACACAGGTGTTGCTGGTTTCCCTCACCATGCTTTTTGTTCTCAAAAGTGTCTTTGGAACCACAAACGAAATGGTTTTCTTTGTAGCTCTGGAAGGTCTGCTCTTCCAGGGGGTCATCACACAAATTCCGGAAGAGGTCTCGCAACCTCCATTCCAACCTGTTTATGGTTTCCAAACCAGACTGAGGCATTCTTCCTATTCAGGATATAAGAGGTCTCTACAAATTGAGGGTACAGAAATTCAGATGATCTCCCTGATCAGTGACTGCTTTGCTTCATCAGGAGGACTCCTGGTGTCAGTGGATATCTGACTCACACCTGCTTATCCTGATTTTCCAACCTCGCCAATGACTTTTGTGATTCCCAGTGGAGGACCGCATCTACCAGTTTGTGGCGTTGCCATGTGGTCTTCTACGGCTCCTAGAATGTTTACCAAGGTGTTGGCTCCAGTTCTAGGTTTGTTGAGGGCTCTGGGTGGGATTCCTTTTGTGGGATACCTGGATGACCTGCATCTCAAAGAGCATCCATCTCAAACCTTGAAATCACGTGTCTATTGGATGGTGCATTTCCTGGAAAGATTTGATTGGTTATTGAAAAGTTGGCCTTGGTTATGACGCATGAATAAGATTATTTGGGCTTAATTATAGACTCCTCACAAGCAGAAGTGCTGCTTCTGCAGGAGAAATATCTGTCCCATTGCTTTTAGGTGGAGTCTCTGAGGTCAGTGTAAAGCCCTTTGATTCATGTGTGCATGAGGGTGCTGTGGAAGATGGCAATTTTTTTTTATGCGCAGTTTCACTCCTAGGCTCTACAATTTAACATCTTGTCAGTATGGTCAGATGTCAGGAGTGCTTGGATCTGCCAGTGCACCTGACTCCCAAGACCAGGTCGGACCTAAAATGGTGGAATTGCATGCAGATGCTGAATGCCAGAATGTCTTTCCTTCTGGTGTTTTGGAAGGTGCTGATAATGCATGCCAGCTTGTCAGAATGGGGAGTTGTTCTAATGAGCCTTTCAGTTAAACATCCTGGTGCGTCAAGCAATTTGGTTCTTCTACATTGGTCTGTCTGCCTTTTGGGGCTTCCCCGTCGTGGTGCAGTCGGACAATGCCAAGGAGGTCGCATACGTCAACAATTAAGGAGAGACCAGAATGGTGCCTCTTGGGAAGAAGCAGACTTGATCAGGCAAAACTTCACATTCCAGCCTTCTCAGCTGTATGCATTCCTGGTGTGGAAATTAACAGACAGATTCTCAGTTGTCAGCCACTAAATCCAGGGGAGTGGTCCTTTCACCAGGAGGTGTTTGTAGAAATGTATCTGCTGTGGGGGTGTTTTAGATGTGCATCCCTTTGCGTCCAGATACCACAACAAGCTGGACAAGTTTTTGTCCTCGAACAGGGATTCTTGGGTTGTTAATGGTGGATGTCCTGGTGTCTCCTTGGTATTAGTTTTTCCTGAACGATGCCTTTCCTTCATGGCAGTTTCTTCTTTGCTGATGCGAAGAATAAAGGTGAAGGGTATTCCAGGGATTCTGAACTGTATGGCCAAGAAAAACTTAATATGCCAACATTGTCAGTCTCTTGGTAGGTAGGTAGGTCATGGACTCTTCCAGATCAACCAGAATTGTACTCACAGGCTCTGTTTTTGAATCTGTAATTCTTCTTCTTAGGGCAGGAAAGTCAACCTCCGGGAAGATATAACATTGTACATAGGAAGCTTATTTCGCCTGGTATGAGGCTTGGAGGTTTCATCCAATATATGATATGATAGTATGTCACATTTTTTCTAGTTTGGTGTAGATATGTCTCTGGCCTTAAAGTAGAATTGTAGACAAAAATGTTTTGTTTTGTTTCCCATTTTGGATAGAGTACAGGAAGGTTATAACACCGGTCAGATTTTTTTGTTTTTTTTTCCCGCCATCTGTGTCTTGTTGCGAATATTTTCCTTCACTTCCTGTTCCATAGCTGAACAGGAAGTGAAAGGAAATCCCTGCAGAACTAGTGTCACCATTGGAAGATTTCCCCTCTATTACTTTTTTGGGGGCAACCAAAAATTTGGGGATTTTCTTTTACAATGATAATGGTAAACGGGGAAAGTGGAGAGGGTGAATCTCCTTAACGGGCACAGACAGCAGTAAAAACTGACAGTGGTTCTTATTCCTCTGCACTCTATCCAAAACCAAAAAAACAATTGCCTTTTTAGGTATACTTTTAAGCACCATCAGCGGGCAGTTTGCAAGGAACTTTTACTGGTTCTTCACCAGGATAGGGTCCAACTTTACTTCCCTTTCATCGAAGGTGGTTTCCTTGTTTTATATTAATCAGGACATTGTGTTACCATCTTTTTCTTCCAATCATAATAATCCTAAAGAGACGGTGCTTTACACTTTGAGAATGATGTTTGAGCTGTTTTATCTGAAGTCTACAGCTTTGTTTTGGCAGTCCCCATTTGTTCTACCTGATGGTCCTTGCAAGGGACAGGCTGCTTCTTGATTTGATTCACAATTTCTAGGTGAATTTGTGGTCTCTTTTCTCAGGCTTATGATATTCAGGGCAAGGTTCTTCCTTTTCTGGTCAAGGCTCCTTCCTCCAGGAGTGTCAGTGCTTCCTGTGTGATTCAGTAGCAAGCTTCTGTTCATGTTTGTAAGGCTGCTACCTGATCTTTTCACAAGTTTTTGCAGGTAGGTTTTCATGCCTCTGCGGATGCCAGTTTTCAGCAAAAGGTCTGTTGGCATTGTAATGGGTTCTTCCCCTATTCAGTTTTTTGGTTTTGGGCATGTTTACCCTGTTGGTGTTGCCCACCCCTCATGTTTAGTGCTTTGGGGACAACGCAAGTAGTCAGAATATGAAGTATCCTGTATTATCCATTTCTTGTACATCACAAGACACAGGGATCCCTCACCGCTTTGTATTTCCTACAAAAATGGGGCTTAGCTAAACTAGGAGGGGTTAAGCCCAGGCAGGGGATCCTATGTGGGTGTTGTTGTTTTTTTTTTTTTTTACCTATTGTCCATTCACCTGAGGGTGGTGACATAACCCAAATAGTTATGAATATGATGTGCCCGGTGTCCTGTGATGCACTTCAAGAAAGTGATTCTACAGGTAAACCAAAAATTCTAACGTTCTCTCAGTACAGGTTTCTTTTAGGGCAAAATAATTGTTTACATTTCAAATGAAAGGTCGTTTTTATTGTCGCCGCAAGTAGATTAGCTATATTGGCATATCCTGCCGAAGTCTCTAAGTTTTGCTTGCAAACGTTAATGGTGACTGGCTGTACATATATATCCGTATATACATATATTCTTTCTGGAGAATGGTCATTCTCCATAATTAGTATTTCCAAAAGTGCAGATTCCCGTAAGATTAATGTCTGGGTGCCAGGGGGAGGGAGTACTCGGGTGAAGGCTTTCCTCAGGGATAAAATAGCAGTTGGCTAGGAAGATCCATCTATCAGTTGATTCTCCCTCCGTGCAGGCGTGACCAGAAGATGTTGAGGTTGGCTTAAAGCGGTTGTAACCCCCATTGAAGTGACTGGTCTCAGGTGATGCACAGAGATTAAACAAATCCTCCTACACAAGTTGTACCTGGTTTTCTGCAGTATGTTGTTTAAATCGGTTCAAAGTCCAGAATTTATAAAGCTTGTCTTAGAGTTCATAAAAAAGGGGGTGGAGAGCTGATTCTTCCCAAATCCAAATGAACAGCTGTATCAGGTTACCAACCTTTGTCTTTAGGCATTTTAAAAAATTAAAAATGTTGGTTGATTATTTGACCAGATAACATCAACCCAAAATTAAGTATCTGTTCGAGGACTGCCATGTAAGCTATTAAACTGATGTGCAATTTATTTATTTATTTTGTTTTAGCCCTTGGGCGTGCTATTCACTCTCTCTCAAGAATCGGAGAAGAGCTATATTTTGAGCCTTTGGATGATGGGGTAAGAAGTGCATGAATTTAAAGAACATTCAATTCTCTTTATCCCTGTAGAAAATCTTGGGAGTTATTTATGACTTTCACCAATGTTTGGGTATTGCACCTAGCAGCTTTTTAGCATGAGCACAATGTTTGTTTATACATTAGTCACTCTATCACTTAAAGCAGGTCTACACTATACCGGAGGACCACAAACCAAAAGTGCTATTTAATTCATTTTTAATATTAAAAGCAAACTCTTCCATCCATGTCTGGTTTTTTGTTTTGTTTTTTTTTGCTGAGAAATCACTTTGAACCCCCCACCCAGCATTCCTAGCTGTGGTTTATCTTGACTAAGGGCAGATGGTTCATATTGCATTTACTTCCTGGAATCCAGCTCCCTTAGCTCAGGCATGCAGGCAGGAGGGTGTGCTTAGTTGAGAAAACCCCTCCTCCCCTCCTGAAGACTCCTGGGTTGTATGACCTCGTTTGCCTAGGCCTGGGAACCAGGAAGTAACTGAAGAAATTTAAAAAAAAAATTAAAACCAGTAAATATGACATACTTTCCTATATACTAATTCTAGCAGCATAAGAAATATAAATAGTCCATGTTGATTGCGAGAGTGAAGGTCCACTTTAAATGAAAGTCTCAACAGAGGAATTACCTGCAAATAAAACTGTAAATACTTGAAACTCCTGCTTCCTGAGCCACTAAATTTTGTTCCAATGAGCGGCAAACTGTTCCACAAAGTCTGTTTGGAAACCACCACTTTAGGAGTCAGTCTCCTTCCTCTCATCATTCAGTGTATTGTACCCTGTAGTACTATAGGGGTCAGTGGGAGGAATCACTAAGTGTAAGCAACTGAATAAGCATGTACAGTCTTCTTGACATGGTTGCTGTTTGTTTTTATTTTTTTGCCTGCTTGGCTAAGTACTTTAACTTACTAAATGGATATATCACCACTTTTATTCTGTCATTAGCTCTGCCTGCGTTCAGTCAACTCATCAAGGTCGGCTTATGCCTGCTTCAATTTTACACCACTCTTCTTCCACAGCTTTGAGGTTTCTGGGGGATCCTGCCAATGTAAGATCTACATGAAGGTAATCCAAGTCCAAAAAAAGGCTCACACATACTGTACAGTAGGGGTAACTGTTTACACTTTGTATAAGCCTACGTACACTATATTGCCGAAAGTATTGGGCCAACCCTCCAAATCATTGGATTCAGGTGTTCCAATCACCTCCAAGGCCACAGGTGTTTAAAATCAAGCACCTAGGCTTGAAGACTGCTTCTACAAACATTTGTGAAAGAATGGGTTACTCTCAGGAGCTCAGTGAATTCAAGCGTGGTACCGTGATAGGTTGCCACCTGTGCAATAAGTCCATCTGTGACATTTCCTTGCTACTAAGTATTCCACGGTCAACTGTTAGTGTTATTATACCAAAGTGGAAGCAACTGGGAAAAACTGCAAGTCCTCCACGAACTGGTAGGCCACGTAAAATGACAGAGTGGAGTCAGCACATGCTGAAGCTCACAGTGTGCAGAAGTTGCCAGCTGTCTGCAGAGTAATAGCTAGAGACCTCCAAACGTCATGTGGCCTTCAGATTGGCACAACAGTGCGTAGAGAGCTTCATGGAATGAGTTACCATGGCAGAGCAGCTGTATCCAAGACTTGCATCACCAAGTGCAATGAAAAGCATCCGATGCAGTGGTGTAAAGCACACCACCACTAGACCCTAGAGAGTGGAGACGTGTTCTCTGGAATGACAAATTACACTTCTCTGTCTGGTAATCAAATGGACGTGTCTGTCAGTTACCAGGAGAATGGTACTTGCCTGACTGTTGTGCCAAGTGTAACATTTGGTGGAGGGGGGATTATAGTGTGGGGTTGTTTTTCAGGGGTTGGGCTTGGCCCCTTGGTTCCAGTGAAGGGAACTCTTAAGGCCTCAGCATACCTAGACATTTTGGAAGAATGGTCAAACATTCCCATAGACACACTCCTAAACCTTGTGAACAGCCTTCCCAGAATAGTTGAAGCTGTTATAGCTGCAAAGGGTGGGCCAACTCAATATTGAACTTTACGGACTAAGACTGGGATGCCATTAACGTTTATGTGCATGTAAAGGCGATACTTTTGCCAATATAGTGTATATACACATTCACTGGCAGTGGGATGTGAGTGTACACTGTAGGGATTGACATGCCCGTACTCGAACTTGAATACACATCAGTCACACTTTTTGGCCAAGCATAGACTGTTTCCATCACACTGAAAGTTCATCCAGGATTGTATGACTTTTCAAAGATATTCCACTCAGCTATTTATATGCACTGACCACTGTGGGGAATAATACATTTCTAATGACCTTTAGTAACCAGGGCATAGAATACATTAGTCACTACTGTGTGTGAAAAGTGTGCTTGCAGCATCATTTCTCAACATTCAGCTCCCAATGGCCATTTCTGCAGTCTGAAGTTGAATATGAAACAAGGCATATAGTTGCTATGTGCCACAAGAGACTTTCCCCAATCATTTTTCAAAGACAGCCATGTGAGAGATGATTTGTTCTTCCCTCTATAGGAAACCCAAACCAACAGACTAAAAATTCCCTCCCACCCCCTGTCTCAATTTAGTTTGTGTGCTTTACTATTAAGGAGTATAAGGAGTACACCAAAATGTTTGTTAGTTTTCTTGTGCCGTTGGATCAGTGGTTTCCCTTGGGTTCCAGATTCACTGTTATCTATTTGGAAAATTTGACTGTAAGGTTCCCTTTGTTTGGCAATGTAGTGGTCTTGTGCCCTAGGCTTGATGCTGCAGGTCTTTGAAAAATTTGAATTTGTTCTTTTGAGAATGCAAGGGTCATCAAAGACCAGATGGACTGGAAGGCAGAAGCTCTCCTTTGGTAGAGTATGGGATGCTTCTGCCTCCTCTATGGCCCAGACTTTAGCTGCATCCTGTGCAGCTGGGAATTTTGAGGTCTAGGTAGATAATTTTGGCTAGAAGTTTCCTGCAAGATAATTTCTAATGCAAAGGTGGAATCCGTTTAAAGTTTTTCAGTAAGGTCAACAGCTTTACTGAATTTGACCAGAAAAGCTATCTGACTTAAAGTGATACTAAAGGCTTAACTTTCTAAAAATAACAAATGTGTATACTTACCTGTTGTTGTGTGCAGTAGTTTTGCACAGAGCAGCCTGGATCCTCGTCTGCTGGGGTCCACCACAAGTTCTCCTGGCCTGTCCCTCCTGTCGGGTGCCCCCACAGCAAGCAGCTTGCTATGGGGGCACCCGCTCCTCTGTGTGTCCGTTCGAGCCTTTACAACCACTTTAAATCATGGCATGAACGTTGATTCCAAGTCCAAATTGTGTGGAGCTTCTTTTGAAGACTTTTTTTTTTTTTTTTTCCCCCTTCTCCCTTCCACAAGGGGAAACTATTGCATCAAGCCCCTTTGTGTTAAAACTTTGAGGGATAGGCTTCATCTGGAATTTCTGAGCTGCTTGATCAACATGCTGGCTGAAAAGCTATTTCTTCCGGTTAAAAAGATCAGTAGGATCAGCTACTGTGGCAAAACCCAAAGAGATCTTTTCGAAGGGCTGAGCTTGGGCATAGTCTTTTCCTCTAAAGATAACCACCAATGTCAGCGCCTGTGGGGCACACACACTGGATCATCAGATGCAGGTGGTTTGGAACAAGGAGATGTGGGAATCCTCATCTTCAAATCTTGGGGCGCTCACATCTGTGAGGGAAGCACTGTACAGGATGTTCTGATTTACCTGAATCAGGGAGGCACCAGATCCCCTTCCCTTTTGCTAGCAGTTCAGGAAATCCTGGCCTGGGAAGAAGTCAACCTAGAATCTTTTTTGGAAGTCCACATCAGAGGCTTTCTAAACACACTGGCTTATTTCCCTCAGCAGGAAATGGGTTCATCAGAGAGACTGGGAGCAGAATTGGCAGAAAGAAACAGGAAAATGGTCTGTGTTTTTTGCGCTAAAGGTGGGGACAAGCTTGGGGTTTGATCTGGTTTCTGCATTAGCTCCCGTCTTTAATTCCAAAAGTCATTCAGACATTTTCTCAGTCTATGGTGGCCGAGGAGGGCCTTTTTTCATTACACCCACCCTTCCTGGCAAGGAACAACCTATTGTCTTCTCTGAAGCCTGCCTCACCACCTGCCCCCTCGACCCTGTCCCCTCACAACTCCTACGACCTCCCTCCTCCTCCATCCTACACTCCCTCACCCACATCTTTAATCTCTCCCATTCTTCTGGCGCATTCCCCTCCACTCTGAAGCACGCGCACATAACTCCCTTACTTAAAAAGCCCTCTCTGGACCCCACTGACCCGAACAACCTTAGACCCATCTCCCTGCTGCCATTTACATCCAAACTTCTTGAGCGCTTAGTCTATAATCGCCTAAGCTCCCACCTCAATGACAACAACCTCCTCGACCCCCTACAATCCGGCTTCCGTCCCCTACACTCCACCGAAACTGCCTTACTTAAACTCTCCAACGACCTGCTAACCGCCAAAGCTAATGGCCACTATCCTCGACCTCTCCGCGGCTTTCGACACAGTCGACCACCCCTTCCTCCTCAAAAAAACTACACTCCCTTGACCTCAGAGACTCCGCTCTCTCCTGGCTCTCATCCTACCTATCACAACGCTCCTTCAGCGTTGCCTATAACGCTACCACCTCCCCCTCACTCCCCCTCTCTGTCGGGGTCTCTCAAGGCTCTGTCCTCGGGCCCCTTCTCTTCTCCATCTACACCTCCTCCCTTGGCCAACTCTCACGGCTTCAACTACCACCTCTATGCCGATGACAATCCAATTCTATCTCTCGACCCCTCGCCTCACTCCCTCAGTCTCCGCCCAAATCACTAGCCTACTGAACGACATATCAGATTGGATGTCGCTCCACTTCCTTAAACTGAACCTCTCCAAAACCGAGCTCCTAGCTTCCCCCCCATCCCCAGACTGACTTCTCCATCACGTCCAACAATGCCACCATCAGGCCCACTCCGCAAGCCAGAGTACTTGGTGTCATTCTTGACTCCAATCCTTCCAGCCCCAAGTGCAATCGCTAACTCATGCAGACTCCACCTCTGCAACATTGCCAAAATACGCCCATTCCTAACCCCAGAAACCACTAAACAACTCATCCACTCCATCATATCACTACTCGATTACTGCAACTCCCTCCTCACTGGCATCCCTCACCACATGCTATCCCCGCTTCAGTCGATCCTGAATACGACATCTAGACTCATCCACCTTACCAACCGCTCCGTTTCCGCCACCCCCCTCTGCCAATCCCTCCACTTGCTTCCGATTGCCCAGCGGATCAAATTCAAAATCCTAACACTGACGTACAAAGCTGTCCATAATACTGCCCCAAACTACATCACCGACCTAATATCCAAATACCACCCAAAATGCACTCTCCACTCCTCACAAGACCTCTTTCTCTCTAGTTGCCTGGTCTCCTCCTCCCATGCCCACCTCCAGGACTTCTCCAGGGCATCACCCATCTTCTGGAACTCCCTACCCCAATCCATCAGACTATCACCTACTCTCCTCTCCTTTAGGCGCACCCTGAAAACCCACCCCTTCAGGGAAGCCTACCCCGTCCCGTCCCTGCTAATTGCCGATCTCCTCCACTCTTCCTACCACTCCATCCCCCACAGCTTTTCCTCCCGTACCACCATCCCCTCCCTCCTAGATTGTAAGCTCCAAGGAGCAGGGCCCTCAAGCCCCTCGTGTATCGCACTGTATTGTTATTGTACTGTCTCATGTATTTCCCATTGTAATGTACAGCACTGAGCAAACTATTGGCGCTATATAAATACTGTATAATAATAATTGTCTGCGGTTCTGCATCCTTGGCTTCAATTTTTTTTTTTCATCTGGTGGCATGGATCCCGAAAGGGTCTTGTTAAGGTTGAAAGGCTTTTCAGAGAGTTGTTAACACTTTGCTCATGAGTAGGAAGCAAGTAAAGTGGAAACTTGACTCTAGGGTTAGGAAGGTTGTTTTTTTTTTTTTTTTTTTTTTTTTCTGGTTGGTATAAAAATTTAAAATAAAATGTGCGGCGCTAAGATCAAAAAAATGTCTAAGTTAGCATATAAACTTAAATACTGATTGTTGATAAATCATATAAAAGTTCATCAGGTGACTATGGTGCTCATTAATCATGCGTCTTCCTGGACCCGGTGGATGTGCATATAGGTGTATAAGCAATGCGCACTCACCAGACAGCGCACGTAAATGTGCGTTCGTAATGAATTTTGATGTCATCAAATGGTCATCATGGGATGATGGTAAGAATCCTAAGCCTTTCCTCTATGGGTGGATGGATTCTGAGGTGTGGATTCACTGGTATCAAGGTCATCCAGAGTTACCTTTTATGGGATAGTGGGTGCAGTCCTCTGTATCTAGTGGAGGCTGCCTCTCTGGATGTTAGGATGGCGTCTCCGGGCACACAGCCGCGTCTGCCAGCTGATCGGTGCTGCGTCACTGTACAGAGGAGGGCGGAGCCGGCTGTCAATTGTCTGCCCCACCGGGAGCCGCCCTGCCCAGTGTTACAGTGAATTCTTGATCCCAGGGAATTCTGCCCTCCTCTGCACTGTGACGCAGCATTGATCAGCTGGGAGACAACTGTCATGTGACCCGCTGTGATTGGTCACAGTAGGTCACATGGTACCGGCAACGGGGGGGGGGCCGGTACTCAGATCTGTCATTGGCCGTGTCCAAGGTACACGACAGGTGACAGATTGCGCCGCTGCGCGCTGTGCAACTGCGCGAACTTGGTATGTGCGGGAGGACGCCAAATTGCGTACACCCCAAAAGCTAATACATTTTTGTGGCCGCCAAACGGCTATAGGCCGGGCGGCTAATGGTTAAATAAGTGAATATTGTGGTTGATATGAACTAATCAATTAAGTGTACTGTGTCCATTTACCTAAAAGACAGGATGGTGTTTAGTGGGCATTAGAAATATGCATTGTATTTCCAGTTTTGGTGTCTATGGGGAAAAAAAGAAAACATTTTTTAAGCTGAACTAAAGTCAGAAACAATATACCTGCTAGTAGCTTTATCTTTTACTTTTTTACTTTTATTTTTCTTTTTTTTTTTTTTTTTTTTTTTCTTTTCTTTCTTTTCTTGTGACAGTCAGTGGTCAGTGTGTTCCGTTCCTTGCCATCACTGGAGAAGACTGTGGAGAAATGCCTTATAAGTCTGAACACCAACAGTAGCCGTTTGGTGATCCAGCTGTTTTGCAAATACGGTTAGTATCTCTCCATGGAAATTAGTTTTTCTTTTTTGTGCTTTGTTTATTGCTTTATATTTATCTGTGGGGATGTATTCTTCAAAAGATCAGATGAAATTTGAAAACAACTATTGGGTCTTCCTGAAAAATGGACAGGCAGACCCTATCAGTCTGTCCGCGTGAAAAGTCTCTAAAGTATACGTAAACCCTCACCTTGTAAATTAACCCATTCTGCTTAAAATGAAAAAGGAAAGGCAAAACGTGTTTGTTTTTTGTTTTTTTCTTTTCCCCTGTTCTTTTTTTAAGTGGTCTCCTACCCTCTAAGCACACTGAACTTCCCAGTGAATGGTTGTGTAGAGGGGGCTTGTGAGCAGAAGTTTAATCAGAGAAGAGCAGACTAAGTTCTCAGCACAGCTAGAAAACTGACCACGCTCTACTCTGATGCCTAGTGTAGTCAGTTTTTATTAGGAAAGCAGAGGGACTGGCAGGAACACCAGGGATTTCACACAAAGGAAGCAATACAAACAGAACAGGATACTTTTTCATACCAGTACATGGTTCAGCAGGGACATGAAATGCTGGGTTTACATATTCTTTAATATGAACAACTTTGCACATTTTAGCAAGTTTATGGACCATTTCATGCCTGTATGTAATTGAGACCTAATATAAATTCTCTTCCTGTTTCAGGTGTAACAAAAACACACAACCTCTCCTATCAGGACTGCGAGTCTCTTCAAGCTGTTTACAATCCAAACACTTGCCCAAATGTGCTCCGAGCACCAGCCAGGTTAGTAAATTAAAAAAGATTGGTCTTTACTAGAGAAAGTATAGTTAAATGTCATGTATTATAGTGGATATTTCTGGAATACTAGGCTGTGGTCAGGAGTGTGGGCACCTTTTCACTTTTCTGTTTTATATTACACCTCCTAAAAAAAAACACCTTGGGGTATTTACTCTGCAAACGTTGGTCATTTCGTGAATGTTTCTATTGTCCTGTTGATCCAGGGCCTCCAAAAATGGGATAGGTAGTCAGGAAATTAGAAGTGTAATTTATACTCCTAGATTGTAAGCTCCAAGGAGCAGGGCCCTCCTATCCCTCTTGTATTGTTGCTGTATTGTCTCCCTTTTATATTGTAAAGCGCTGAGGAAACTGTTGGCGCTTTATAAATCCTGTATAATTATTATTATTATTATACAGTATTTATAAAGCGCCAATAGTTCGCTCAGCGCTGTACATTACAGAGGGGGACAGAACATGTGACAGAACAATACCAATACAATGCAAAACATGAGGGGATTGAGGGCCCTGCTCTTTCGAGCTTACAATCTAAGAGGGAGGGGATGGTGGCACAGGAGGAGATAGCTGTGGGGGATGGAGTGGTAGGAAGAGTGGAGGAGGTCGGCAAGTTAGCAGGGGGTGGGGTAGGCTTCCCTGAAGAGATGGGTTTTCAGGGTGCGCCTAAAAGAGAGGCGAGTAGGTGATACTCTGATGGGTTGGGGCAGGGAGTTCCAGAGGATGGGTGACACCCTGGAGAAGTCCTGGAGGCGGGCATGGGAGGAGGAGACCAGGGAACTAGAGAGAAGGAGGTCTTGTGAGGAGCGGAGTGTGTGTGCTGGGCGGTACTTGGATATTAGGTCAGTGATGTAGTTCGGGGCAGTATGGTGAACAGCTTTGTACGTCAGCGTTAGGATTTTGAATTTGATCCGTTGCGCAATCGGAAGCCAGTAGAGGGATTGGCAGAGGGGGGTGGCGGAGGCGGAGCGGTTGGAAAGGTGAATGAGTCTGGCAGCCGTATTCAGGATCGATTGAAGCGGGGATAGCCAGCGGCGAGGCAGGACAGTGAAGAAGGAGTTGCAGTAGTCGAGTCGTGATATGATGAGGGAGTGGATGAGCTGTTTAGTGGTTTCTGGAGTTAGGAACGTGCATATTTTGGCGATGTTGCGGAGGTGGAGTCTGCACGAGTTTGTTAAAGATTGGACTTGGGGCTGGAAGGATAGGTTGGAGTCCGGAATGACACCAAGTACTCTGGCCTGCGGGGCGGGTTTGATGGTAGCGTTGTTGGATGTGATAGAGAAGTCAATGGGGGGTGGTGTCCGGGCTGGGGGGAAGACAAGAAACTCGGTTTTGGAGAGGTTCAGTTTAAGGAAGTGGAGCGACATCCAGTCTGTCGCTCAGCAGGTGTGTGATTCGGGCGGAGACCGAGGGGGTGAGGTGGGGGGTTGAGAGATAGATTTGTGTGTCGTCGGCATAGAGGTGGTAGTTGAAGCCGTGAGAGTGTATGAGTTGGCCAAGGGAGGAGGTGTAGATGGAGAAGAGAAGGGGCCCGAGGACAGAGCCTTGAGGGACCCCAACAGAGCGGGGGAGTGAGAGGGAGGTGGTAGAATTATAGGTAACGCTGAAAGAGCGTTGTGACAGGTAGGATGAGAGCCAGGAGAGAGCAGGATCTCTGAGGCCGAGGGAGTGTAGTTTTTTGAGGAGGAGGGGGTGGTCGACTGTGTCGAAGGCCGCAGAGAGGTCAAGGAGTAGGAGCACTGAATAGTGGCCATTAGTTTTGGCGGTTAGCAGGTCGTTGGAGAGTTTGAGTAAGGCAGTTTCGGTGGAGTGTAGGGGACGGAAGCCGGACTGCAGGGGATCAAGGAGGTTGTTGTCGTTGAGGTGAGAGCATAGGCGGGTGTAGACTAGGCGCTCGAGGAGTTAGATGTAAATGGGAGCAGGGAGATGGGCCTGAGGTTGTTCGGGTCATTGGGGTCTAGGGAGGGCTTTTTAAGTATGGGGGTGATGTGTGCATGTTTCAGAGGGGAGGGGAAAGTGCCGGAGGAGAGGGAGAGATTGAAGATGTGGGTGAGGGAGCGTAGGATGGAGGGGGAGGGAGGTCGTAGGAGTTATGAGGGGATAGGGTTGAGGGGGCAGGTGGTGAGGCTAAAGGTGCTCCTTGGATATTAGGCCTCTATGTTAAAATGTGAAAGTCTCATATGTAGAAAAAAAAAGCAGAATACATGTTGGCCTAAATTTTATGAATACAGTTTCTGTATTTGCTGAATTTTATAACCAATAAAACATTTTTTTTAAAATAAAATCAGTCTTTTTTTTTTTTTTTTTTTTTTTTTTTTTTTTTACATATTTATATAGCAAAAAAAAAACACATTGTGAATAAATATTACAAAAGAAAGCTCTGTCACGACCCGCAGTCGCCACCCACCAACAGGGAGACAATCGCACGACCGCGACTAACAGTAATACGTCACGCCCACGGCGTCAGACCCCAGATCTTCTCACCAAACTCGTGACCGAAGGACCATCCGATCTAAAACCGTGGTGTGACGTGCGTAACAAGGCCCCACCCAGCTGCACCCAGCACAGCGATTGCCCAGCTAATTGTTTACAATCGGTGCCTGCAGCCTGAATGCGCTTGTTACTGGGTCGGGTTAATTACGCAACTAACCCTCTACTGCCACCACCACTTTTGTCGGACACTGGGAAACTCCCGTTATCAAATATACACTATAATGATTGAAATATTGATCTATATAGCACGGCCCGCGGACCTGCTATACAGAGATATAACAAACAGTAGCGTCTCTTCAAAAGGCAGGAATTCGTGAATTGCAAGTAAGCGCCTAGAAACAGTTTAACACTTTCAGAAAGAAAGATTTATTACTAAAAGCTTCAGACAGATGCAATAAAATATATTTACAAAGAGATGTCACAAAAAAAAAAAAAAAAAATATATATATATATATATATAAAGACACAGCAAGGAGATAATTAGGAAGAAGATTACAGGGTTAAGTTACTTGCCCATATGCCTGAGTTTGCAGATCCAAGTGCAGAGCAGAAAGGTTCTTTGATCTCCTCTGTTACGATGTTACCTCGGAGATCTCTGTGTATCTGTGTGTCTAACTCACTTGTCTCTCTTAAACGTTCCTCTCAAAGGGGAGGGGGGGGGCTTGGACTACACGTTTTGGGAGTGGTCAGTGGGAAACTGAATTAACCATAGCTTCATAATACATGACATTAAACATACGGTTGACCCCGAGGAATGTTCAATTACTCTGGTCAGTTTGATAATGTGTGAGCTTACACCGTTTTGGGTCAATGCTTCCCAGCCCTCTGAGAAATGTGGCCTTATCAGACGTAGGTGAGAAAGGTGACAGTTTTCCCAGCCTGCTGGTCCCACCAGGAATTTTTCTCCTGGGCTGACCCCCACCATCTGTCAGGAGATAAGGGCCTCTCAGGGCTGGAAAGGGGGGATGTGAGGAATGATTGAGGAATACCTTAAATAACAGAAAAGAACAAGAGAAAGAAGAACTCCGCTTCCACTCTAATGAGCAGGTTTGCTACAAGCTCTATCTCTCATTCAAAATGTGACAGCACTGAAAACAAACATGACCTGGATTGTAAGGGGGTGAAATAGTCCAAACTTTAGCTTATTCAATTAAGCTTTGACAAGAAAACCTGTTGATTGGTTACTATGCAGAGTTGCACCAAATTCTGTGTGCAACATTTTTATTAAATATACCCCTATGGCCCCTTTCACACTGATCATCCAATTGGGTCTCCCTGTGAGTTTTTCAGGTGGACCTGATCCAACCATCTGTTGATCTGTTGACAAGTGTCCGCTGACACCTACCAGCATCCGATCCGATCCTGTATGCCAAATACAGACAGATGGGGATCTGTTCCCCATCTGTCCGTCAGATCAGATGAGAGTTGGGTGGAAACCAACGGCGGAGCGGACATAGACCCGTCATCCGCCTGCTTAGCAGGAATCAGTGGAGAGATCCCTCGCTGAGCAGGCCGATCCGCTGACGGGTCCATTCCGTCTCAAAGGGGCCTAAGTCTCTGCATATGTGTATTGTGTGTGGGTACTATAAATGCCTCCTGGGGGGTAGCAAGTATCTTTAAATGTCTGTGCACAGGATCAAAGGCTAAGATGGGAGCTTCCTTGAATGTAAGGAATATAAAGGATTTGGCTCCAATTTTAAGGAGGTTTGGACACCGGTAAGCAAGATAACCATATTTGCTGCTTTCCTGGGAGGTTCAATGCTTTTTCCTCCACTTTCAGGGGAAAGTTCAAGCCTGTATATCCTTTATAGGACATGTTTACTAGAGGAATGACACCCTTTTTTTTTTTTTTTTTTTTTTTTTTTTTTTTTTGATGCATACCGTGCTCAGCATAAATAAGTACACCCCAATAGATTTGTCAGAAAACCTTTACCTTCCTTTTCAGAATCAACATTTTCTATGGGACACTATACTACAAAATACTCCCACAAGTGCGGGCCATTGATTGCAAACAAGATTTGTTAATTTGCGCGCGCACACAGTATTTTTTCTAACAAATTCATTCAAGACCATGTTGCAAAAATGAATAGATGCCAATGAAAGTCTTCGGAGCAAAGCTAAAGTTTAGACAACAAAATTCTAATTAACAGGAATTCAACTGCAGGTAAGTCTAACTATTCATTAAACAGGTGTCCAGCAGACAAAAAGTAAAAGGGCGTTACCTAACAAAGAACACCCCTTCTCATTTGATGCTGTCCGCAATGGCACCACATGGCAGAGTAATGTAACAAGGCCTGAGAAAGAGAAAATAATTTCTTTACACAAGAAAAGTGAAGGTTACAAGAAGATCAGCAAAGCTTTATTTTTCAGTCAGAATTCTATAGCAAAAGTGATACAAAAAAATCAACAAAGATGGAACTGCAACCATTTCACAGAGACGTTCAGGCCGTACATGGAAGTTAACTCAATAGGACCGTCTTCTGATGAGAAGGGTTGAAGAAAATCACCATGCAAGTTCACTACAGTTAGCTAAAGACGTAGAAAGCCAAACTGCGGTGATTATTTCCTGTGACACAATACAGCGTGCACTGCAGAGAAAATAACATGCATGGGTGTCATCCACGAAGGACGCCTCTCCTCAAGCCCAAACACAATAAAGCCCTGCCTAGAATTTGCCAGGGCCCATGCTGAAAAAGACTACTGGGACTCTGTACTCTGGAGTGATGAGACCACGATAAATGTTTTTGGAACTGATGGCTTCAAAACTGTATGGTGTCACAAAGGTGAGGAGTAAAAAGAAAAATGCATGGTGCCTACGTTGAAATGTGATGGTGGCAGTGTCCTTCTGTGGGGCTGCATGAGTGCTTCTGGTGTCGGGAGCTGCATTTCATTGATGGTATGATGAATTCACAGATGTACTGCTCTATATTGAAAGAGAAGATGCTACATCACTCTGTGCCCTTGGTCGTCGTGCATTTTTCCAACATGACAGTGATCCAAAACCTCTAAGGCTATTGCTGCATTTCTGAGGAACAGGGTGAGAGTGATTCAGTGGCCAAGTATGTCTCCTGACCTGAACCCAATTGCACACCTATGGGGATTTCTGAAGAGACACATTGAGCATCACTCTTCATCCAGCATCCAGGCTCTAAAAGAGTTAGTTCTTAAAGAATGGAAAAAGAAAGATGTTGCAATGTGTCACTAACATGTTCATTCCTTGCCTAGGAGACTTGGTGCTGTCCTTTACAAATCATGGTCATACAAATTACTAGATGTAGTCCTTTTTTTTTGTTGTGGGGTGTATTTAATTTTTTTAAAAATTATATTATTCACCTTGCTTTCATGTAACGAGGTAAACAAATGTTCTATAAAACTCATTTTTGTCAAAATTTTGGAAATAGTTTTTGTGTTCATTGAGATATTGATTAAAATCTTACTTTTCAAAAGGGTGTACTCATTTTATGCTGAGCACTGTATATATTCAGACAGCTTACATTGTCTATCACTCCTCTGTACCATTTTATTGATGTGAAATCACTTTGTGTCTATTGTATTACAGTATATCCTTTATCTTTCCTTTTTAATAGGGGTGCGATCTCTCTGCCTATTCCTTAAAAAGAACTTGGTACTTTACCCTTTTGTATCACATTGAATGTCTCCTTCCTTTATTGCTTTTAGTTTTTGATTGTGAGGGCTGTTTCATTTTAGATCCCCCTTTTCCATCAAGTCAAGGATATTCCACTTCAGCTCCCAGCTGGTTTACTGGTTAGTCTTGGACCAGGACTTATTTAGTTTTGTCCTACTTTCCTTTCCTTGGGGTTAAGTGTTAGGTATCCTAGGCTTTGGCCTTTGCCTTTGCCTTAGGAAACATCCTTATTTTTATTTTTTTTTTTGACCATTTATAATGTTGGGTCTAAGTTTGGTTGCACCTGATTTTTCTTTACAGTGGTTGATTGGTTGTCCTCCATATTCTGCTTGATCTTTCTTTCACATGGCGTTCTCCACCTAGCGGCACTACCTACATTGCCCTGGAACATCTGGTTCCTTTTGAGTACGTATCAGTTTCCATGTGTGCTTCCCCTTTTTGTCATCCAGCCTTGTTCAGGCATTTATTTCTTCAGATGTTTTTCTGTTTGAGTTTTACATCCATTGGGTGTCTCAGTGGCTGTGCCCGACCCCTCAGATGGACTTAGCACTTTTCTAAGAATTACTACATTCCTGTATCACCAAAGGGACAATATAGAATATAGGATTTTTATACTTGCTGTAAAATCTTTTTCTTAAAGTAATTTAGACTGTTGTTAACCTTTTACGTATTAGTTGCTTACAAAACTGGGGCCCGACAGTTGAAAGCCGGCTAATACAGGGGCTTGCTTGATGCATTATTTTTTTGTTTGCCAGTGTTCAAACCTCCTAATGGCAGGAGTAAAACCCCATTTGTCTAAAAAGTGCTACATTTCTGTGTCCCTCAGTGGAGTTCAAGAAAGATTTTATGGCGTGTACAAAATTTTTTTCTTTTTGATGACTATTGCTGTTGAAAAGTGTGAGAAGAAGAAAAAAAATTGCTTGTGGTAAATTTCGGGTTAAAACTATTTGTGTCAACTGTCACAGAAATAAATGGAATAGGCCACAGTTCCAGCTTTCATGGTTTTGTTTTTCTGTAAACTTGCTATTTATAATTTACTGGTGATTCTTGTTTTTTTTTAGGCTGCTTTCAGATGCTGTTGTGCATTTTCCACTGACGCTTGCAGAGGTGACACTGATGGCCAGTCCTTGTGGCAAGGTCACACTTAAGAACTACGTGGAGGATGAAGTAGGTAAGGGGATGTTTTTATCTTTTACAAGGGTAGTTTCGTAGTAAGCGCATTTCTTAAAATCCTTTTCTGGGTCAGTCATGACAAGTATTTTAAATACAGGTGAAACTCGAAAAATTAGAATATCGTGCAAAAGTTCATTTATTTCAGTAATGCAACTTAAAAGGTGAAACTAATATATGAGATACTCATTACATGCAAAGCAAGATAGTTCAAGCTGTGATTTGTCATAATGGTGATGATTATGGCTTACAGCTCATGAAAACCCCAAATCCACAATCTCAGAAAATTAGAATATTGTGAAAAGGTGCAATATTCTAGGCTCAAAGTGTCCCACTTTAATCAGCTAATTAAGCCATAACACCTGCAAAGGGTTCCTGAGCCTTTATATGCTCTCTGTCTGGTTCAGTAGAAATCACAATCATGGGAAAGACTGCTGACTTGACAGTTGTGCAGAAAACCATCATTGACACCCTCCATAAGGACGGAAAGCCTCAAAAGGTAATTGCAAAAGAAGTTGGATGTTCCCAAAGTGCTGTATCAAAGCTCATTAATAGAAAGTTATGTGGAAGGGAAAAGTGTGGAAGAAAAAGGTGCACAAGCAGCAGGGATGACCGCAGCTTGGAGAGGATTGTCAGGAAAAGGCCATTCAAATGTTTAGAGACTTTTCACAAGGAGTGGTCTGAGGCTGGAGTCCGTGCATCAAGAGCCACCACACAGGGATGAATCCTGGACATGGGCTTCAAATGTCGTATTCCTCTTGTCAAGCCACTCCTGAACAACAATGTCAGAAGCGTCTTACCTGGGCTAAAGTAAAACAGACCTGGTCTGTTGCTCAGTGGTCCAAAGTCCTCTTTTCTGATGAGAGCAACTTTTGCATCTCCTTGGAAACCAAGGACCCAGAGTATGGAGGAAGAATGGAGAGGCACACACTGCAAGATGCTTGAAGTCCAGTGTGAAATTTCCACAGTCTGTGTTGATTTGGGGAGCCATGTCATCTGTTGGTGTTGGTCCAATGTGCTTCATTAAGTCCAGGGCCAATGCAGCAAGTCTACCAGGAGATATTTGAGCACCTCATGCTTCCTTCCACAGACGAGCTTTATGGGGATGCTGACTTCATTTTCCAACAGGACTTGGCACCTGCCCACACTGCCAAAAGCACCAAAACCTGGTTCAATGACTGTGGGATTACTATGCTTGATTGGCCAGCAAACTCGCCTGACCTGAACCCCATAGAGAATCTATGGGGCATTGCCAAGAGAAAGATGAGAGACATGAGATTACCGAACAATGCAGAAGAGTTGAAAGTTGCTATTGAAGCATCCTGGTCTTCCATAACACCTCAGCAGTGCCACAGGCTGATAGCTTCCATGCCACGCCGCATTTGAGGCAGTAATTGCTGCAAAAGGGGCTCAAACCAAGTACTGAGTACATATACATGCTTATACTTTTCAGAGGTCCCATATTTTCTATGTACAATCCTTGTTTTATTGATTGCATGTAATATTCTAATTTTCTGAGATTGTGGGTTTGGGGTTTTCATGAGCTATAAGCCATAATCCTCACCATTATGACAAATCAGGGCTTGAACTATCTTGCTTTGCATGTAATGAGTCTATCTCATACATTAGTTTCACCTTTTAAGTTGCATTACTGAAATAAAATGAACTTTTGCACGATATTCTAATTTTTCGAGTTTCACCTGTATAAGGAAATTCTTGAAGTAGCATTCATGCTGTCTTAGAACTGTGATACATGGATCTCTTGGTGTTTTAAGATAAGGGCTCTGTTTTTCCACTTCTGTAGGGCTTAGTATGCAGGCAGGATTATGGGTAAATGGTAGACATATCTTGGACTATACTCAGATGTAGGGATGGCTGCACGCACTGGAGAGAATTCGACAAAGCTGCTGCGTCACATTTCTGGCATTTGTCCCTCTAGCTAACCACTTCCCGCTAACCGTTTGTGTTTATATACGTCATATTGCCTTACCAGATAGGGGGCTCACGATGCCCTTCCCGCGCCACCATTGGCAGCTTCAAATGTTGATCACCGGGTTCCGAACGGAGATTCCCTGCCAGCACCCAGCAATCACAGAGTAAACGACACAGGTCTATCTCCTGCCAGCAGTAACATGCTGCTGTGTATTTCTCTGCACACACAGCACGCATAGTAAAACAGCACACAGTTTTAACCCTTGACTGCCCCAGATGTTAACCCCTTCCTGTTCAATGTCATTCGTACAGTGTGAGTGCTTTTTTTTTTTTTTTTTTTTTTTTTTTTTTAGTACTGATACTAGTTTACAAATGACAGTATAGACACTGGAATTTTTTTTTTTTTTTAAACGCTATAACTTTCACGTAAACCAATTAATTTACATGCATTGGGATTTTCTTTTTCCCACAGAGACATGTAGCAGAATACATTTTGGCCTAAATTTGATGAAATGTGTGGGTTTTTTTTTTTTTTTTTTAAAAATTGTTGGTCTTTTTTTCTGTTTCATAGCTCAAAAAATGCACAGATGATCAAATGCTGCAGAAAGAAAGCTCTATTTGTGTAGAGATAAAAGGACACAAATTTAATTCATGTACAGCGTTGCATAAACTGTGCAATTGTCAGTTAAAGTAACAGCGCCGTATCGCAAAAAATGGCCTGTTCAGGAAGGGGGGGGGGGGGGGGGTAAATCCTCTGGAGGGCAAGTGGTCAATGTACTGCACCAAATTCATAAAGCATTTGCAACACTTTTGGTGCTGACAGCAACTCATGCACCAAAATCAGAGTTCTATAATGTGCCACTGTTACATTGTGTCACATTGAATGTGCCAAATGTAAAATTGAAGCCAATTTAGACCAGAGAAAAACTGGCTCACAGATTTTGCATGGTGTCTGATATGCATTTTAAAAGTGCCACAGCATGGGCCAAATTCATGTACAAGTTCTAGGCAGGTACATGAATTTGGTGTATTCTTAACCACGTTTAGAACACGAGAGACCTTTTTGCAAAATCTGTCTGTGCCTGCCTTCATGAATTTCGGGGACTGTGTGCTACCATCAGCAGCTTTCATTTTATAAAAAAAAATTCCTTTACAATTATACAAATAAAAAAAATATTACAACCCACGTAAGCAGCTACCACAATATTGCAGGCAACAATATAAATGAAATAATTTACAAAGTGCTGCACTTCAAATAATCATTAAGTTAAGGAATAGGGAAAAGCGTACAGCATAATGCTTAGAAACACTATGGTTGGGAAAACCTTTGTTTATATTGGCAATATGCTCTTTCTGACAAAATGTGTAGGGAGGAGCCAGAGCGCGTGACATCGGCACGCACCGGAGCGTGGCAGTCATCTTGTTGGTTTGAAACTTCATTTATATGGTGATATGCTGTTTTACATTCTCTTTTGATGTACGTTTTTTTTACTACGTTTAAGGCAATAAATTGAATTTATCTTACTACACTATGAGGATTCGTTTTGCATTTTGAACGGGATTGTCCTCTACAAGGATAATTTTATTTTGTAAGTTTACCTTCGAGATCATGTTTGATATGAAAGTTTGAAACCAGAGAATGCCCAGGTTCACGGCTTGCCTTTTTGGATTTTATACAACGCATTTTGACCCATCCGTAACTGGGGGGTCAATATGATCTGGTAAGAGGCAGTGTGTTTGATGATGGTGGACTTTTCTCTCTTATCCTCCTGGCCGTTTTGAGACCTCTATTTTAGCACTGAGGCTCTAGGGAAGAGGGGCTTGTTCCCTATACCACTATTCCTGTGGATTGGACTTTTACGTTCATTTTATGATTATTTGAAGCACTGCACTTAGATATATAAATGAAATAATATACAGTCAGTTATAATCAGTGCCCAGCACTGCTGCTGTTAGCTTGTAACCTCTTACCTGAGGAGTTTCATGTGAGTAGTTCCTCTGCATCCAGAATTGGCATTTCTGCAGAAATCATTTTTGAAAACACCCCCTAGCATTTCTAGCTGTGGCCATCTCGAGTAAGGGCAGATGATTCAGGAAGCATTTACTTCCTGGAATCCATTTGCCCTTAGCTCAGGCAAATGGATTCCATGGATGGGTGAGTTTTTGTGTGAACTTTAAAAATGAATTTATATAGTGTCTTCAGTTTCTGGTACTCAGATACAATTTAGTTCCATTTTAATGTATATCTAAACCAAAAACAATATTGTAATTTATTGCAGATTACCATTCTTTATTTTTTTCCTTTTATTTATTTATTTTTTTTACCTCTTCTTCTTGTCCTAGGTTCTCCATAGAGAAACCTGGGCAGGGGCTTGTTATAATGTTAACTGATAACCGTACAGCAGAGGCAGATTGAAATACCACCAACAGTACTTTATATCTGTTATGTGTCCCCATTTACATAGCATAATTTAAAATAAATATATATGTTTTAAATAAGTGTTTAGTTCTCTTTGTTAGGGGGCTGGGGAGTCATGTTTGCGATAATTTTAGTTGAATTCCGGCCAAACACTAACTATGCTTAAAAATGTTCCCTTCCCCACTCTTAGCTATTGTGCCTAACTTGTATAAAGTAGATGTGTATACTTTAACTATTTTTAGTCCACTCTAGTCCAGTCATGATATTTGCAGCTCTGGCTTCCCTCTGTTGGTGAGCGGTGGCTGCAGGGGAGAGGAGGGAGCGCCTACAACACCTGGAACATGGGAGCCTATGGGTGACCTCATGGCTCCACTCAATTCTGAGCCATTGTCCAGCACTCCCCCCTTGCAATCGTCCCTCACTAACACAGGGGAACCAGTGACCAGACTGGAGCGATCTACAAATGGGTAACTAGACATCCTTTTTTTTTTTTTTTTTTTTTTTTTTTTTTTTAAATAGTTCTTTACAGAAATGTGTGTGGACACAAAATCTGATACACATCCTAGAAATTCAGGTGCAGCTTAATAAAAGATCCAATATGTATAGAAACTTAATGTTTCAGGTAAGGTAAGATCATAAACACAGATATG